TTAAGAAAAATAATTATAATTTTTAATGTTATATAATTTACCTTTAGCTTTTTGTGTTTATAGAAATTTGAAAAAGCTTGCGGTTTCGTAAATATAAGATGTCAAAAATTCAAATTTTACAAATTTCAAGAGGCGATAACTTGAGAGGGGGTGGAGATGGAAAAAAATTTTCTTCAAACAAAATGAACTATTTGTTAATGTCTAAAAGTTCCTCAAATTTCAAGCTTCTACAGGCTGGGGTCTAGAAGAAAAACGAAATCAAAAATTTGAAAAAAAAGACTTTAGATAACGTTAAATATGAACGGCCATTTTGTTTTTCTAAAGTTTAACAATAGTATACTGCGCTAGGGGAAGCAAGCCGCTGCCTTTCCGCGTTTGCAAAATTTCAAAAATGCTTATGGTTTCATTGCAACAAATAGTTAAAAACGGCCATTTTTAGGGTTTTGCGGAAGTATAACTTCTAAAGGGGGGGAGATAGATAACAATTTTGTTCTACGCAAATAAGTTCCTAGTAAAGATCTATGTACGTACGAAATTTCAGCTTTCTATCTTCAAGGGTGTAGAAGTTTTGTAAACAGACACACGGACAGACGGACGGACAGGGTAAATCTAATAAGCACTTTTTTTCAAAATTTTTTTGAAAAGTTCTAAAAATAATGAAAATGAGCAAGGGAGAAGTAACACAATCAATGAAATAAACAAAGCAAATAATGAGAACAAATGTAATGAAGTAAAAGAAATAAATGAAATTTACGAAATAAAAGAAAACAAAACCAAAGTTTGCAGACCTAAAAGCTTCAAACTCAATTAATATAAAAAATTCACCGAAGAAAAAATTTAAAACACTAGTAGTGTAAAAGAAGCGTTAAGCCGTAAAGATGCTAACAAATGGCTAGAATCTATGAAGTCTGAACATGATTCATTCATTTCAAATGGAGACATATTTTTTAGTTTAGTCGAATATGACTCATTCATGATATATGTAGTTTAGTCGAATTACCTGTAAAACAAAAAAAAATCAAATCAAAATGGATCTTTAACAAAAAAAGTAATAGAAATGGACAAATATAAAGATATAAATCACGTTTAGTTGCATGAGGATGGAATCAATAATAGAGAATTAATTATAAAGAAAAACCTGTGCTGAGATATTCAACTATACGAATAAAATTGGAAATTGCAATTGAATTCGAACTGGACGTACATCAAATGGATGTAACAGCTGATTACCTAAGCGTTGAAATGCATGAAGATGGAGCAACCTGAATTTTTTGGAGATTGAAAAAAGGTATATACGGATATAAAATTAAGTGATGTACTACAAAATTTAATAGAATTAAAACGCTGCGCATGATAAAACGTATGGCATGATTTTTGTGTTTATACCTCTTATTGTCATTATTGCTGTGTATGTTGACGATATTATGATTACAAGTTCAAGTAAATCACTGTTAATTAAAGTAAAACATCAATTGAGCACTGAATTTGAAGTCGCCGATAATGGTCCTACTGAATTTTTTCTAGGTGTAAATAGAAAGAGATTATACAAATAACACCATAAGTATTTCACAAGTAAAAACATATACGAGTTGTAAATTGAAATGTTATTGCTAAAACAAATCTTGAATTTTAACTAAAAATTAGTCTTGAAACGAAACTCACCAATAATGGATATGTTAAATAATTTACAAAATTTATAAATTTAAAATGAATCAAAAATTACAAAAAACATTTTAAAAGGCTTGAAATACCTTACATAACTTCCAAATTATCGGAACTAACCCTGACAATTTTACCAGAGTTCTCAAAAATATTCAAAACAATATCCCAAATATTATTTCAAAGTTTTTTCGTAGTGATAAAAAATACGTAAGTGCGGAGAAATACATTATTAATAAATTGTTTACTTCGTCACAAAAAAAAAGGTATTTTAATACAAAATTTCAAAATTCGAAAAAAAAAACCATCAAATTTGTTTTAAAAAAAATATTTTTATCTAAACATAAAAATGCATTCAAGTATATTAAGTATTTAAAATAAAAATTTATTAAAAATAAAAAAGAAAACTTACGGAAATGCATAAATACAGGCGTTGTGTATAATACACACAAACACACAACGATATAAAAAGGTATAATAAAAAGCATTTTAATTCTTTAGAATATTGCTTGCATCCTTTAAATTTTCAAAAATGCAGAGGTTTTTATATATATGAGTATCAATGCAAAAACACAAAATTTTAAAAGCATGTTAGCAAACGATCAAGTACAGTACTTGACGTTTTTATATCAAACATGTCCCAATGCTAAGAGAGAAACTTGAAAGCATGATCTTACTTTATATGGGTTCTTTTTTAAATCGAAATGGCTATTTTTTGAGAAGAAATAACAAAATAACTTTATACTTATTATAAAGAAGATAAAATTCCGAAAATATCTTGTTAAATGAAATTGAAAATATGTTAAATGAAAATAAGTTAAATATCTTTTTTTTTAACTAAATTTTAATCTTCAGGAATTCGATTTTGTTTTTTCCTTTTTATTTCTATAAATGCAATCACTTTATGAAATATGGCCCCGTAAAAAGTCCAAATAACTAAAATTATGAAAAAAGACAAATAACGAGAAAAAATAGAGTTGACCGTGTCAACTCTGTGGTACCCATACGAATTTGTAATCCTATGCGCCAATAAATATGCCATAGCTAACTATGGGGCAGACTATAATTTCAAGCTGTCATGTTACCATAATATTTTATGCAAACTATCAATACTGTGTTTTCAATATTTTCTAAGATATGGCCAAACTACTATTGAAGTTGTTTGGCTGCTACCGGAAAGAGCCAAGCAATTTCAAGGAAACACATTGGCCCTACTAATATATTCATTTTATCAAACACATTGGCCCTATTAATATATTCGCTTGTGTGAAATTTCAATATCACAGCTTTTATAGTTTCTGAGATATACCCAAAGAAGTTTCGAATTTGTATGGCAGCTACCCGAACCACTACCCCGATCATATTCAGCTTAAATAGGGTTGTGGCATTTACTATAATAAATCATTTGTGAAAATTTGGTGAACTTAGCTCAACTAGTTTCTGAGTTATAGTTGGGACGAACCGACAGACGGACACACGAACGAGCGAACAGACAAAGCTAAATCGACGCAGAATTCGACACTGATCAAAAACATACACTTAAATCTATATGTCAGACCAATATTTCCTAGCGTCAGAGACGGTAAGGCGAATTTAGCATACCCTTCGAACATACGTTCGTACGGGTATAAAAATACAGTTTTATGACTACTAAAGACATCTGTAACAGATGTAAGATATTCCTTACTTGCATTCATAAAAGTTTTGTAAGTAGAAATGTTTATCCTATTTTATTTTTTACCGTCTTTTATTTATTGTTTATATAAAAACGACTTCTCTTGCTTGTTCAACGTAAATTCTCCAATAGCAAGTCGGTACATTTTTGCCTTTTCGTTAATTATATTATTATTTTTTTTCTATTTGTCTATTTTTCCATATATAATATCAATAAAGGATATCAAGGTACGTAATATAAATGCAGATACTCAAATACAAATGTTAAAATTCTAAGATGTTGTTTAATTTTATATCCTGAATTCAGATGATCGCTACTTATGTTTATATGTGTATATACATTATGTTTCGCATAAGGTGGCCAATAATTTCAGGGATGATTCATTGATCAATTTCCAGCAAAATTCTGTTGGTCTGGGGAGACTGGCAAAATTATGAGAGATAGAGGAAAATGTGTTATGGGTCAACTTTAAGATCTGATCGTAGCGCATCGAAAAAGACGAAAAAAAACAAAAAAATATTGACACGAAATTTCGAAAAATTTCGTTTTTAAAAAAACCAAAAATTTTTACTTTGACGAATTTTATCGCGGAAACTATGACTCAGATCAAATTGATTGTCTGGCCGAAAATAATAAGAAATCAATTATCTGCAAAAAAAATTCCCCGATGATTGTGTTATGTCGCACTGTTCCGAAGTTATAAGCATTTATTTGTATACAGGAAAAATCTGGTACCTTTTTTTCAACAGGCTGTAGCTCGAAAAAGAATTTACTTTACCCCCCCCCCCCCCCCCCCCCCATTTTGAATATGGATTAAAAAGTCTAAAATGATTTAAAATTTTTTCTAATAATCCAGATAAAATTTAAAGCTTGGGAAGCCTTCGAAAAAAAATTAGGGTATGTATTTAGCACTCTATTATTACTTTACTTTTTCTGCTCCACTATTCCTTCCTTTAAAATTTTATTTTAGTATAAATGTAGTAAACATTTACAGCAGTTGCTGACACCTAATTTTTTAAAAAAGTAAGGAGGTTTCGCGGACGTTTGAGCGAAGCTTATACACGAAATTTCAAGTAAATCGGTTGAATATTTTCTTCAAAATGGTGAAAAATGTAAAACAACCCCGCTAAAAAGTGCAGTTCCCGAGGTTTGATATATCTTAAAAGTTGATCAATCCGTGCCATGGTCCAAATAAACTTACACATAAAATTTCATCAAAATCGGTTCAGCCGAACTTGAGATACACGCGTGAAAAAAGTGAATATAAGTATGTTTAAGTTGTCTAGCAAGTTTTGACTTATGCACTTAGTTTGACGGTTTAACATTACATTATTATCGACCGCATTACATACAATAAGGGAGGTTATGAGATGGTACCAAATTTTGCATGCCAAGTTTTCGATAGAAACGCACTTCTCCATGCCGGTCTGTCGTTCTGTCCGTTTGTGCATTATTTTGCGCATATATAGGGAAATATTTTTGCGCATATATAGGGAAATAATCACCCAATTTCCCTGAAATTTAATATTTAAATTCTCTTTATTGTTGTCTTTATATTAATATAAAGACAATATGTATATACTTAAAATACAGTTAAATGTAAAAATGTGAAACTGATTTCAAAATTAAAGCTTCTTAACATTAATTAAAAATAAATACAAAATACCTTTTTTAATGAAAAATGATCCTGTCTCAGTGTCTCTTGAATTTCTTGTTCTGGTTTTGTGGACTGCTGTTGAACCTGTGACCGAAAACCATCAAGTACCCCTTTGAATGTAAATTTCTTCATGATGACACCAATAGTAGTTAATAATTTTTAATGTCAATTTAAAACAAAATATTTTCTGTGTATATTTTCTATATATGTTTTCTTTTTTCGAATTAAAAATTATATTCTTTCAGTTTAGTTAAATATTACTATTTTTGAATTTTATTCTTTTTTCCAATATTCCGCTTCTACTATAAAAGTTATGTAATTAAATTATGTACTTAATTTTTTATTATTAATTCTATTAATGTTTATCAATGGACTAATGAAAATATGACACTAGTTATATGTTAATATTTTTATATGACTTATATTTTTGGTTTCATAATTATAATTCTTATTGTTATTATTATTATTATATTATTGTTATTATTATTATTATTATTATTATTATATTATTGTTATTATTATTATTATTATTATTATTATTATTATTATTATTATTATTATTATTATTATTATTATTATTATTATTATTATTATTATTGTTATTATTATTATTATTAATATTATTATTATTATTATTATTATTATTATTACTATTATTATTATTATTATTATTATTATTATTATTATTATTATTATTATTATTATTATTATTATTATTATTATTATTATTATTATTATTATTACTATTATTATTATTATTATTATTATTATTATTATTATTATTATTATTAATATTATTATTATTATTATTATTATTATTATTATTTTTATTATTATTATTATTATTATTATTAATATTATTATTATCTAAATTCTTGCATTCGAGTCTAGTTCTTAAGGAATGATGTGAATATATTTAGAACTTTATTGATAGTTTTTCCTTTAAATTTTTAGTTAATTGTGTGTGTTACAAAAATCTTTGCATTAGTAGCTTTTAATATTCTAACAAATTATTTAAATTTAATTTTTTTCACAATTATATGTAAATCAAAATACTTATTGTGTCTTTTACATTTGTTTAATTATTTGTTTTACATCTTATTATTAGAATAAACTCTTTTTTTTATTTTTCCTTCAAAAAATTTATATGTTTCAAATAAAATTTGTAATAAAAAGTGATTGAAATTTTTCTTTAACATCAAACTATATCCAGTTAATTTTTTTGTTTTTTTAAGGTTTGTTATTTAATTTTTCAACTACACAACATCAATTCGAATTTTCTTATTTTACATATTTTAACTTATTGCAATCATACATACAACATTATATATTGTATATTTTTCCGCATATTAATCTACTATGCCATTCTCTTAGTTCATTCTTCGCTTTATTATCTCCCGTTATAATTAGTACTATTATGTAAATATTTATTTATATTCTGCTATTTTGTTTTTTATTACTTTTATTCTAAAGTTATATTTATTATCGATTTGCTTTGTTTCTTACTTCATTTGCAATATGTGTGTTAAAATAAATTTGTATTGATATTTATATTAATAAATTTATATATATGTATGATTCTTCTAAGTGTTCTTCTTAATAGTTTTTGTTATATTACCAAAAGTTAATTTTAATATGCGCTAAAATTATATTTACAAATTTAAGTAAATTAGTTATGCGTTTATGTAATTATAAAAATTAAATAAGATAATAATCCTTGGTTTATATAAATAATGTAAGTGTTTTTTGCTTTAAACATAAATATACAAATATTCATGTAAACGTGTATGTATAAATATACATAATGTTCTTTTTTATTAGTCGCTTTTAGTTTATTTTTGCTTTATAATTTTGCTGCTTTGTTACGTGAAATTTATGTTAATTTATGTTTAATCAATATTCTTTTTTTTATACATCATACATACATATATGTATATATAAATATATATATATATATATATATTTATGACACTAGTTATATATATATACATGTATATATATATATATATGTGATATATACATGTGTGTGTGAGTGCGTGTTTATATATATATATATATATATATATATATATATATATATATATATAAAAATACCTGTATTCAAGTATTAATTCAAGTATATTAATGAATTTTATTTGAATATATAGCTATTTATTTCAATTTTAGTGAACAAACGGATTACATAAACCATCATTTTTAATCCATTATTTTTGTATTTTACTAAAAAAATTAATTGAATATTTCAACTAAATATTTTAATTAAAAACATAAATATATTTTATAGTACGCACTAATATACATTGGGATTGTGTATTTTATTGCTCAAAGATCTTACCACCGCATTTTGAATAATTTTTAAAGCAAATTGTGAAGACGATCAAATAGAGAGCACAGAAGTAGGCGTCTTTAAGAGATGTAGAATGTTATAATAATACGTAGGAGATCAAAAAAATAAAGTTTGATCAAATCAATTGTTTGTAATGTAGCACCTTAAATGCTCGAATTTAAGTCATGGATTTTGCTGTTGACTTTCTGCAGTTATAGAAATTTGTAAAAAGCTTGCAATTTTGAAAGTATAAAGTGCCAAAAATCCAAATTTTACAAATTCCCGGAGGATATGGAGAAAAATTACAATTTCCCGGAGGATAACTTGTTGAAAAAAAATTTTCTTCTAGCGAAATGAAGTATTTATTAGTCTCTTAAAGTTTCTAAAGTTTCAGATTCCTAAAACCTGCGGTCTAAAAGAAATGCGATACCAAAAATTTTAACGGCCATTTTGTTTCTCCAAAGTTCAAATATAATATGCTACGACAGAAGAAGCCAGCCACTGCTGTCTTATTAAATGTACTTATTAAAGAAAATTGAAAGATCTATGTACTTATTAAACTTCAGCGTTCTATTTCCAAGCGTGCAGAAATTTTGTAAACGTATCCACGGGCGGACAGTGTGAAACTAACAACCACTTTTTTAAAATTGTTTTTTGAAAAGTGCTAAAAATTAATTAAAGCCTAATATATGTAACATTTATTAAGTGTCCTTGTGTTAAGTTTATATTATAGAGGTTGTTTCGCATAAGGTTGCAAATGATTTCAGAGATGATTGTCTGATCAATCTTTTGTGAAATATCCTGTATTATAATAACCACAAAAAATCAATTTCACTAAAAAAATTCTAATTTACTATAGAAATTTAATAGAAAAGAATCTTAAATTTTCATATGAAATTTACGTCAAACAAATTTACATATTTGAAATTACATTGGCAAATTTAATCAATTTTTGATTAGAAGATATCAACGTTTCATGGATACATGGTTATATAAAAATTAAAATCCAACATCAAAATGAACATATGAAATTGAAACCTTTCTATATTATTTCTAGAACTTGTGTTCGAAAAGAAGTAAAATTAGTTTTGACATTGTGTATATTCAAATTCCACAATTTTACAAATTTCTTGTTAAAACACTAATTTAAAATCTACAAATAAATTTTTACAGAAATTCTTTATGAAGACAAAATTTTTACGGAAGTGTGAAATTCATTTTGAATCATTTCCCTAAATTGCTACTTTATAGAAATGAAACCAAAACACGAAATAGTTTTCCTTTACAAAACATCTTTATAAAACAGTTACTTAAGCAATCCAATTATTTTATTCCGTCTCTAAGTAAAAACATAAGAGTAATTCGTAAAAGAAAAAGATAATGAAATAAAATTACAAAAGTCGCTTCATTGAAACACAACCTCTAATTAAATACTCTGAATATGATGGATCCATATGATATTCCGCAACAAAGCCTAAGCAGTTAATTGATTAGACTACATACATACTTAAATACGTTACATGTGATTACGAACCAATGTTTGACTGAACAGATTGTATGGGAAACGACAAAAATTATTACTAAATTAGTCATTTTAGCAGCAAACATTTGTTTGCCACTACGCTACAAAAAAATTCTAAAAACCTTTAATGCAATATAAAGTTTTATTTAATGTTGTTTAAAATTATAAACTTTTTGTAGCCATAATTTTTGGATTGAAAATATTTCTTAATTTTCTTTTTATCAAAAATTATTTAAAACTTTAACATATAAATTTAAAATCTGTACCTTCTTTTATAATATTTTGGAAAAGAAAACTTGACATTCATAATTTGATTTGATTACAGCGAGAGGTAAATTTTAAATGTGAAATATTATACTTAAGTATGTGATTTAAAAGATTTTTATACAAAAATTCTTTGAAAATATAAGGGTGTTTATGAAATATGATTTTCTGAAATTGGAAAACCAAGATATTTAAGAAAAAAATTGAAAAGAATAAACCAATAAAATAATTTCTTTCCATTACGAAACTTCAAAAATTTTATTTTCTCACGAAAAGAAACAGAAAAAGTAAAAGAATAAAAACATAAAATTTTAATATTTTTTTTATGAAAATCACAATCAAACATTTTTAAAAGTATAATAAAAAAAATAAGAGTAAAAATTATTTTTTTTGCACAAAACCGTAAATTTCGTTTTCTGTTTTTGGTACCCTAACACAAACTTATACTTCATTACCTAATATATTATTTCACACGCACCTTTCTTCAATACATATTGTATTTCACTTGAATAAATTAGAGAATTCAATCTAACGAAAAATAAAAAACAATAAAGTTGGGTCAAACCAATGGTTTGTATTGTAGCACTTTTCCCTTCAACAAGTGAAAATTCTGCTTTTAAATACAGTTTATGTATACCTATCACACTATTAAAATTATTTTCATTCATATACAAAACTATTTCTAGGATTGCATATATTTAGGATGAGCGATTTATGCAGTTTTTGAAATAAAGCAAAAATTAATATAAAGAGGGGTTAACATAATGCTCGATTTTAAGGTTTAATTGTGTGAGTTAAGAAAAATAATTATATTTTTTTTTATGTCATAGAATTTACCGTTAGCTTTTTGCGTTTATTGAAATTTGAAACATCTTGCGGTTTCGGAAATATAAGGTGTCAAAAATTCAAATTTTAGAAATTTCAGAGGCGATAACTTGAAAGAGGGTGGAGATGGAAAAAAATTTTCTTCTAACAAAATGAACTATTTGTTAATGTCTAAAAGTCCCTTAAATTTCAAGCTTCTACAGGCTGGGGTCTAGAAGAAAAACGACATCAAAAATTTGGAAAAAAAGGACTTTAGATAACGGTAAATTTGAACGGCCATTTTGTTTTTCTAAAGTTTATCTGCAGTATACCGCGGTAGGGGAAGCAAGTCACTGCCTTTTTGCGTTTGCAAAATTTCAAAAATACTTATGGTTTCATTGCAACAAATAGTTAAAAATGGTCATTTTTAGGGTTTTGGGGGGTATAACTCCTAGAGGGCGGGGGGGGGATAGCTAAAAATTTTGTTCTACAGAATTAAGTTTCTAGTAAAGATCTATGTACGTATTAAATTTCAGCTTTCTATCTTCAAGGGTGTAGAAGTTTTGTAAACAAAAAAAGTGTCCACGGACGGACGGACGGACGGAATTAAGTTTCTAGTAAAGATCTATGTACGTATTAAATTTCAGCTTTCTATCTTCAAGGGTGTAGAAGTTTTGTAAACAAAAAAAGTGTCCACGGACGGACGGACGGACAAAGTGAAACTAATAAGCACCTTTTTTCAAAAAAAGAAGAATTTCACCTTTTTGAGAAAAGTGCTAAAAATACGAGTAGAAATAAACTTATAGGTATGTGTATGAAATTGATATTTTTATAACTTAAACACGCTTACGTTGAATATTATGTTTTCTCTTTATACAACTGCTTAAGAATTAATTCTCATTAGCAGATACGTGCACGCATATTTTTACTTCAAACACAATCATTTACATAATGTACATGTTTACTATCCTTACCATTAGATTTACATTCACAAAATCTGAAAATACTGTCACATGAGAGAAGAATAAAAGCCAGAAAGTGTTGTTTGTTTTGCAATGGCTTATTAAGTTAGATTCATTGCAATAGATTCTTATCAAGTGAATTCATAAAATTAAAAGAAACATGATATCTCGGTTTTGTTTGTTTTCTAATAAAAATTAATTCATTTGTGACAAATATTTTTCAATGTAAATAACAATCAATAATTTCGGCAATTTTTGTTCTTGTTCAAACGATCCGTTTGGACGCAGTTGTTCGTCGGGACGATATTACGGAAAAAAAAATTTTTGAGTACTTAATTTCTTTTTGAATCTTTTTTGAGTGATTTTTCAATGATGACGTCATGAGTGAAAATATTATGAGTACATTAGGAATTTTTAATGAAATCGAAAGTTACTTTTTTGAGTTTTTTTGATGAAAACAGATTTTTCATGTATATTCTAGAATAACATTATCTATTATAAAAATACCGGAAGTTGCTTTGATTATTTTTTTCAAAAGCCGTTTTTTTTCCTTCTTCACCCCTAGGGAGAGCATAGGGCTAGTGCATGATATCATGCCCTAATTTCATAGCGTCATAGAGTTAACTAGGTAGATGAATAGCCTGCTGTAGTTTTTGTTTATATTATATATTTAAGTTTATTAATATTTACTGTTTATTTTTCTGAGTTTTTAATATTGCATATAACAAATATTTAAAAATTACTTGTATTTATCAGTATTGTATATTAAGTTATATAATATTGAATATAATTTTTATAGTGACCTGACCGAAGTTTGAATCCGAGACCCTTCGGTTAAAGAACCGGTGCCATAACCACTGCCAAGAAAACAAAAATGATGTGGCACTGGGTTGTATTATGAAACTTGGTTGTTATATTTTTTTCTATTTTTATTTAAGCTCATTTTTTTTATTGACAGAATTATTAAAAAAAAACAAATTTTTATTAGAACAATTAACAAAAAATCAACATCAAGAAAATCACATGAAAAAACCACGTAAAAAATCCCTTGACCAAAACTCCGCTAAAAAAGACCAAACCCCAGCTTTCTACCATGAGAACATTATCAAAAAATCATCACCAAAAACCTCTCATGAAAATCACTCAAAAAATCACTTAAAAAAGTCACTCAAATAGCTGTGTCCAAAGGTACACTCATCAAAAGTGTGAACGATAAACAAACTAACATACAACATTGGACTATTGTTTTATATATTATTATGGTTATTCCTTCTTTCTTCCTAAAAAAAATGATTTTGAATTGAAAATACTTTACGTTTTATTAACAAAATACATTGTAAAAATTTTTAACGGATTCCTTCTGTAATATATGTAAGTGTTTTTACACATGATTTTTCATTTTTTTTAAATCGGGCAATAGCTTAATAAAAACTTTTTATTTTTGTGCATTTTTGATCAATTTTTGCTTAATTTTCAACGATTTTTGTGGATTATTTCATGTAAACATTAAAACTTCAACTTATTTTGAATTTGTTATATTTCCGTAAACTATTCTGCATTGTATGTGCAATAGTATTTCAATGTAATCTGTATATCTGCGATAGTTTTGCAATATATTTTACATATTTTTGCCCATATTTATTTAAAATTTCAACATTTTTTGAGTTTCTCATATTGAGTTTGAGTTTAGTCATTGTTTCGTACAATCATTTGAAATTTTTAATAATTTTTTAAAATTAATTCACAAAAATTTTTAATAATTTTTTGTAGTAATTTTAACTAGTTTTTCACTTGTAATATTTAATGTTTTTCCTAAAATAAGTGCAAATTAACAATTTGATACAACGAAAACAACTGAAAATCAATTGCGCTATTTACAACCAAATATGTTATATTTGGTAATTATGATAACTAAATAAAACATAATTTTTGATGTAATTTTTTTATAATAATAATTTCTTTATAATAGCAAAAATGTTAGTATTGATTTAGTCATTCTTTGATACTGTATTGCAAATAATTACAAATTTTAAAATTATTTTTTTTTTAATTTATTAAATTAATTTTAAAATTATTTTGTTTTTAATTTATTACATTAAATTTAAAATTATTTTTTTTTTAATTTATTAAATTAATTTTAAAATTATTTTTTTTTTTAATTTATTAAATTAATTTTAAAATTATATTAAAATAAAATTTAATTTTACTTGGTGATCAACTACAAGGAAATTTATATTTCAATGTGAAAAACCTACCATTGAAATTGAAGTAAATAATCTTACTATATAGGCATTCAATATTTCACAACTCAATTTAAGAAGAAAAAGAAAAATACTTGAGAGTGATTCCTGATATAATATTATTAATTTCTTCGAAATTCTTTGCATATATAAGAACTAATTATTTTACCATAAATGTCAAGTCCTTAAAAATAAACCATTTAATCTCTACAAGTCACATTATCAGAGAGTTACCAATAAAAGCGATGAGACAATATAGACACAATATGTGCTATATTATATTATAGTGACACAATATGTTATATTATAGTGACACAATAAATTAATTTAATTATAAAATATATTTTATACTAATTTTGGAATTTCTGAAGTATCTGAAAATTCATGTTTTATACTTAAACATTGTGTATACAATAAGGTAGATTATGTGATAGCAACAAATTTTACATATCGAGATTTCGGTGGGAACGTACTTCTCCATAGTAGGGAAGTGTAAATAAACTATTTTTCTCTCGGTCTGTGCGTGCACGCGTGTATCTTAAGTTCGGCTGAACTGATTTCGATGAAATTTTATATGTAAGTTTATTTCGACCATGGCACGGAGTGATCAACTTTTGGATTATATAAGCCTCGGGAACTGGACTTTTTAGCGGAAGTGTTTTACATTTTTGATCATTTTGAAGAAAATATTCAAAAGATTTACTTCAAATTTAATATTTAAGTTCATTCGACCGTACGCGGATCGTAGTGTTAACTTTTGGAAGAAATCAGGTGTCAGCAGCTGGACGTTTACTACGATACATGTACTTTATAATATATACATATACTTTAAAATATACGAAAAATAACCAACCGATTTCATTGAAATTTAATACGTAAATTAGAGGTGTTAAAACAATGAATTTATAAATTTTTTGAAAAGATCAGGGCTCGGAAACTGATCTGGAGGTTGATTTTAAATTTTTTACCATATCCACGGAACGAATTGATAGAATTTCTTAAAATTTGGTATTTGAGTTCTAGTGGTTACCGAAACTACCTGGCGAGCGTTTCAGGAAATTTAGGTAGCACAAAGCGAAACTCTACTAAGATCCAAATTTACATTTTTTTAGGTATGTTAACTAAAAGCTTAATAACGTCCTAGAAACTAGAATGAAGTATCTAACAGGCATTTTTATAATATTCTGTAACACTTTCACTTAACTAGACAATACACATTGCGTTTGGATATGTGCTGACCATATCAGATTTTTTTTATTTATTTTTTGTGGAAAACTTGTCAAAATCAGCTGCAGTATCTGCTTGAATTTACATTATTACATTTTATAAATTGTTTTGCTTCTTTTTAAAAGTTGAAAAAAAAAACAAAAAAAAAAAACTTTAATGTAACCAATAAGTTTTCAGTTTAGTTTTATAATCCGTGAAAATATTAATCTCATCTCTTGAATTATAGAAGCTCTGTATTTCTTTTCTCAAAATTTTAAAAATTTTCCAATCAAATGAATCATAATAAGTTATCTTACTTAAAACTTAAAATCAAAAAGCTTGTAGAATGAAAGTTTGAGATTGTGTGGTTTATGTTTAAGGATATTATTTATAAAATATTTAAATTTTCAAATATTTAAAAACAGATATTATTTTCAAAATCAATTATTTACAAACCATTTATTTAACACTTAAAGTTAATTGGAAAATTTATGTTCATATGTATATAAATATGAAACTATATATTTTATGCAATAGTATTATACATACTATATGAAATATCGTGGTAATATTATTTTAGTTTGATTAAAAAATATATATATACAGAAAATATATAGATAACAATGTATATTATTTACTTAATATCAAATAGTAACATTAAAAAAAATAATTAATTGTTTTTTTATTATATTATATAACATTTAAACAAGTAGAATAAATATATCGTTTTGTTTTCTATTTCTTTTTTATTTTTAAGGAAAAATTTTAAAATGTTTAACAATAACTATTTGCAATTTGTAATTAAATATACAGAAAAACTTAAAACATTTTTGTTTGTTTTTTCTTTTGTTTCTTCAATAAATAGAATATTATATGGTTATATTATATATTTGCTTTGTTTTTTTTTTATAACAAATTTCATTTAAAATACCAAAGTACTAACAAAAAACAATATTAAAATATGAATTTATCAACACTTAACAAGTTCACAATAGTAATCAATTTAAAAATTATCAGTAAAAATTAATGGTGTAACTATAGGATTTTATTTTATTATCACTTTTACGTTAATTATTTATTTTTAACTTATTTCACTTGCAAAATTTTCATTTTTTGGAAGTTCATTAAGAAAAATTATCTATTTTAAATTAATGTTCGCAGTGGGAGACTTTTAATTTTTTTTTCTACATATTTTTAAATTTTACTTTATAATTAAGAAAATATCAAATGATATTTTATTCTTGTAGGATAGATGGAAAATCTGAAAATAAACAAAAAAAATTATTTTAATTAGCGTAAATTCATTTAAAAGTAAATTTAAGGGAATTATCTTTATTTCAAATTGATAACAGAGATATTTTTTATTTTGAGATTGATAACAGAGATTTGTATCTATATATTTATAGGTCAGACGTCAGATTTATTATAAAATTAAAATAACATCAAATTTATGAGAAATAGATGAAAAATATTCATCTATTTCTCATAAATTTGATGTTATTTTAATTTTATAATAAATCAATAATAATTAGCAAACCCTTCCAGACACTTCATAAAGTGAAACACTAATAAATTTAATTCATAATTTAATTGTTCATAGGTGCACGAAAATAAAACTTGTAATTCGCTGAGACTCTTTTATTAAAAATACTAATTTTTTATTTCATATCATATACATACATACGTTACATATATGTATATTCAAAAAAGAATAAAAAAAATTTCCATAAAATTTTCCTAATAAATAATAAATAAAAAATTACTAGTTTAAAAAAATTTTTAACCATATTATTATATTTCTCTATAATCTATATTATCTACGTATACTTTACACTTTTTTGCAATATATTAATATAATATTTCCATTGAATAATATGCTGTAGCTCAGTCTATATTCGTATTTTATTTAATATATTTATGTAATATAGTTATTGTTGATGATCTTTTAGTTATATGTATAAATAAAAGAAAACTTTTCCTTTCTTTTCATTAAAACTAGATCGACTTTTATGTATGGCTACCCTGAAAATATATTATCTGTACATAATATGCAACTTTCCCTGCATATTCATATGTATACAAATGTACACATGTACATTTGCTTTAATTTGAATGCAAAAAAAAAAACAGAGTAAAAAACTTAAATTACTCTGCAAAAAAAAAACGGGTTAGTTAATAATTTATGTAATAGTAGTAAAAATTTATACATTAAAATTATTTAATTTTAAATTTTATTCTGCTATGATCAAAAATTTATAAAGAATTCAATTTATTATATGCAAATGAAATTATGTACATTTTTTTTAAATAGTTTAATATGTATAGTTAAAGCATGAACATGTTTATTCCAATTCAAGTGCTTTTTTGGAAAAATTTCAGCAAAAAAAGTCTTAATTGAATCTACTATTATTCTAATCTCTATTTGAATTAAAAGGAACTAAAAAATTAAAAAGAGATTTTTTTTAATAAATAATTTTTAGGAATTTTGCAAATAACTTAACTTAATGGAAATCTCTTCATGCAACTGCAGAACAGTTGGATGACGTAATCAAAAGAACGAGTTAAAGGCAGAAAAATTAATTAAAAAATTTTTCTCCTCGAACTGGACTCGAACCAGTGACCTACCGCTTTCTAGGCGGACGCTCTACCAACTGAGCTACAGAGGCATGAAGAAATTGCCGACGAAATGTTCTCTACATTGTTTTACGAGTATACTATAATTCACATGATTACTAAGTAACATTGGACCATAAAAATCTCCTTAATAAAACTTCTAACTATGTATAATATATAAATAAAAAATATTTGTTAAACAATTATCTATAAGTAATTTAAAATTTTTCCTTTAAAGTTTCCAATGATTCTGCTCGTTAAATTTGTATTTGATTTGATTAAAGATAATTCAAATAATTTCAGACTATTCTTCTTTCTTTAAAAAGAAAGAATTCTTTATTTAAGAAAATTCACTAGTTGCGATAATTTACACCTTAATTTTGTAATGACATTTTCAGATTTTCTAGGCTTAAAACTAAATTTTCAATTAAAAACTAAATTTTTAATTTTTCAAAACAATTAATATGCACAGAATAATTACAGGCCTATTTCCTTACTTCCTACAATTTCTAAAATTTTTGAAAAAGCCATAAAAGTTAGAACTTTAAAATACTTAAATGAATTGAACTTTTTTAGTTCGAAACAGTTTGGCTTTAAAAAAGGTGTATCAACTGAAGATGCGTTATTAAATTTTTG